ACATTTTCCTATTAAGCTTATTCCATTCCTATATTCTAAATGCAGGGTATTTTACTCTCTTGAGTATTTACCTTATTGTACATTGATCATGAATGCTGATTTGGGTTTTTACTTTAAGTAGGCTGCTTGAGTCTACCTTCTCATGATCAGGCTTTGAGTCATTGTCCTCAAAAAAGAGATAGAGAATATTTAAAAGGCAAAGAAACAGAGACAATCAAACAGAGAAAAATGATGAAAATACATTCAGAATGCAAAGAACGTAGGTCAAAAGATTCTGCAAAGGTCTTCTTTTGCAGCAAAACCTTGGTTATAACTACTTTTGCCCTCTATTTCTAATATGTTCATTGTGAGATTTGGAACTATTTAAAGTTTTTTTTTTCTTTAAGCAGTGGGTAATTGCTGTGAAAAACTGACTTCTAATTCTTATATTTCCTTTAATATCTGCATTTTTGTATCCCTATAGTCGTTTTTTTAATTTATTATTCATAAGTTTTTTATTGTGAAAATACCATATAGAGGGGTTACAATTACATGAGCAAGATAAAGAGTACATTTCTTATCAAGCATTGTTGCATCACCCCCCCGCCCCCCATAATCGTTTTTATTGCCACTTTATAACCCTTTTCTAAAATTGAGTAATTTGTGATTAATTTCTCTGCTTTCTTTTCCCACAAGCATGTTGGACTTAATTCTACTGGAATAACTCTTGTAACCTCCTTAAAGAGATGTACCATCCTTCATGTAATATTATTGCCACTTATAGATTTTTAAAGCATTGTTGCTTTATAAGTCATAACATGGATTTTAATAACAGTGTAAGCAGAGACAGTTTATGAGACCTCCATTCTCTTTGTTTTTAAAATTTCTTTAAGTTGGCCAGGCACTAGTGACTCATACTAGTAATCTGAGTTACTCAGGAGCTGAGATCTGAGGATCGCGGTTCAAAGCCAGCTTGGGCAGGAAAAGTCTGAGACTTTTTTTAAATTTAAATTTTATTGTAAAGGTAATGTACAGAGGGGTTACTAAGGGGTTAATAAGTCAAGTAATGAATTTTTGTTTTTGTTTTTGGCCAATCCTCGGGCCTGAGCACTATCTCTGAGCTTCTGTTTTTTTGTTTTGGTTGGCCATGGGGCTTGAACTCTGGGCCTGGGCGCTGTCCCTCAGCTCTTCACCTCAAGGTGAGCGCTCTAGGACTTGAGCTACAGTGTCACTTCCGGTTTTTTCTGGTGGTTTATTGGAGATAGGAATCTCACGGTCTCTCCTGCCTGGGCTGGCTTTGAACTGCAATCCTCAGATCTCAGCCTCCTGAGTAGCTAGGATTGCAGGCATGAGCCACCAGTGCCCGGCCCTCTGAGCTTCTTTGGCTCAAGGCTAGCACTCTACCTCTTGAGAGCCACAGTAGCACTTCCCGCTCTTCCTATTTATGTATGTGGTACTGAGGAATTGAACCCAGGGCTTCATGCATGCTAGGCAAGCACTCTACCACTGAACCACTCTCCCAGCCTGTATACTGTCATTCTCCTCTCTTATTTTCTCCCAGTTTTTTCACTCTTCCCCACCCCTCTCTCTGACTCTTCTACAATTAACCTCCAAAAAGCTGGAAGTGGAGCTGTGGGTCAAGTGGTAGAACTCTAGCCTTGAGGAAAAACAAAAGCTCAGAGGCAGCAACCAATCCCCAGGACTGGCACCAAAAAAAAAGAAAACAAAAAACCTAAATTTTCATAATTTGGGCTTTTGGAAAATTGTTCTGAACAAACTTCATATGTTTGATGGAAAAAAATCTTTCTAGGCTCTTTTTGTAGAGCACTTTTGTAAAGTCCCAAGTCCAATCCTCAGTACTGCAAAAACAAAATGAAACAAACAAAAACCTTTAAGTCATATGTTGTGGTATAAGCCAAACCTGTAATCTAGCACTAGGAAGTCAAGGCAGGAGGGTATAAATTCAAAGCCAGATGAAGCTATATGTGGAGACCCTGTCTCAAAAACAACAAAATAACACTTATGGCTGGTGGGTGGCTCATGCCTGAAATCCTAGCTATTCAAGAGGCTGAGTTCTGGAGGATCCTAATTCAAAGCCAACACAGACAAATCTTAAGAAACTCCCATCTCCAGAGTGCCAGGAAGAAAGCTGAACAATAGCATGAAGCCTTGAATTTAAGCTCAGGATACTCTCTCTGTCTCTCTCTGTCTCTCTGTCTCTCCCTCTCTCTCCCTCTCCCTTTCCTTCTCCCCCTCCCTTTCTTTCTCCCCACCCCCATGCCCCTTTTACATCCGTGGCTCTGGTCTGTGGTTTGATGAAAATTATGCCAGCTTTTTTTTTTTAAAAACTGGTTAGAGTTAAATGTTTTGGATTTATGTGCCTAGACTGGTGTTGATCTTCAGTTTTCAAATCTCAGCCTCCTGAGTAGGATTTTAGGAATAAGCCATCATCTAGATGATAAAAATTATTATAAGGAGTGAACATCCTTTCATATAGTGAGCAGTGCCTAATGACTCAATAAAATCTCCTCTATTTAGTGCCTTTTGTTATTTGTTGGTGATTTCCCCAATCCTCCTGCCCCCTTTACTTTTGTGCTGGTAGTAAAGTTTGATCTCAGGGCCTGAGTACTGTCCCTTAGCTGTTCAAGACTGGTAGAGTGCCTAGCTAAATGTAAGAATTCTTTTAAAAAAGAATCACCAAGTCAAGCACCCATGGCTCATGCCCATGAGCATAGTTACTCAGGAAGCTGAGCTCTGAGGGATCCAGGTTTGAAACCAGCCTGGGCAATATAGTTTGTGAGACTCCTATCTCCAGTTAACTAGCAAAAAGCCAGAAGTGAAGCTGTGGTTCAAGTGGTAGAGTACTAGTCTTTGGTGGGGAGGAAGCTCAAGGATAGTGCCTGGGCCCTGAGTTCAAGCCCTAGGACTGGCGTTCTGCCCTTCTCCCAGGGGAAGACACTAGCTTGGCCTGGGCACCAGTGGCTTACACCTATAATTCTAGCTACTCTGAAGGCTGAGAGTGGAAGGATTACTGTTTGAGGCCAGCCCAGGAGGGGGAAAAAAAGCCACAAGTTTTGTGAGAGTTTATCACAAAAATCCAGACTGTAGACCCTGACCCTAGCAAGTTTAACTGGGTTTAAACCCCAGTATGTCTGCTCCTAAAAGCCAACCAACCAACCATAATATGGATTTTGACTCAACAAAGTTAACTGCTGGGCCAGATAGCTTTCTATGGGAATAGGAATGTCATCAGCCTTCAGCATACAGAAAGTAGGACAAACCTACCAGTAACCTAATCAGCCCCAGGTAGGGTTACTGTCCACTGCTGTCTCACATTCAGGGCTGGATGAACTGTACTGGATGTCTCTTGTACAGTTCACTGTCTCATATAGACTTAATTTATACTTCCTTCTTTGATAGGATGGAAGAGAGCTCCTACTACTTCTACTTTCAAAGCAGTAGGTCAGCTTAGCCACTATTTGTCTAGGAAAAACAGCTCCTATCATAGATATTTTGGATGGTTGCTTCTGGTGTTGAAGACCTAGCTTTTTTGTGTGCAACCATTATTACACAGACTGGAACTTTTAGGCCTATGCGACTACCTGATGTCTTTCACTATATATATATTAAGTAACTCTACATGAGTTTCATTGATTTACTTTACATGCTGAGTAAAACTTTTTTCAAAGTTCCTATTGTTGTGAACTGAGCTTAGTGAAATAAAACCATTAGGTTGGCTAGGCAAACCTAACAATAAAAATAGGAGGGGGAAAAGCCTGTGAAATTAGATAGCCTTTGGAAATAATTTTTAGAGTCACTGCCTAAATATTGAAATGCCACCATTTGTTGTTTGGAGAGATGTGAAGCTATATTGAGAACAGGAGCACACATCTGTCTTGACTGCTAAGTATATCCTCCTTTACTGCTCACTTACTTACAAGTTTTATGCATGCATTCATTCTTCTTGGTTTTCACACCAGTGTTTTGTCCTCTTTGTGCTGAAAATTGACAGACACTTTTCTTCCTCCCACTCTAGCCTTGGCCTTGTGAATGCTAGGCAAGTACTGTGCCACTGAGCAACACCCCCAGCCCTCCGCAGCAGTTTACAGGAGGAGGAGGAGAGGCTTAGTGTCCATTTCTTTCTCCTTATGTTAGAGTATTTGTCCTTAGTAGACCTAGTTCTTTACCACCACTGTGGTGGCTTTTTTTTTCTTTATAAAAGTTAGCAGAGAACTTTCAGGCATATTTCCTAGTACAAGAAAGAGGCAGAGTATTATTACTATTCCGCCTTTATTTTCAGACAAGTTAAAATTAAAAGAGTTCATAAAGAAATTTTGCCTGTGCCGCCTTCTGATATGGAAACGTTTGATGGCTCATTTTACCTTCTACACTGTTATTAAAGCAGGATTGGTGCAGTGGAGGTAATTGTGTGTGAGCAGCATGCTTTTGGTGGTCAGTTCTTCAGCTTGCTCTGAACCTCTCTGATTCCCTTGCTGTTCTTCCTTTTGTGACTGTTCTGAGATTAGTATGGACCCAAAGGACTGCCCATTGCAGTTTGACACATGGAAACTAAGTTTAAAACCAGGGCCATCAATCCAGTTCTTTAAGAACATTTTCACACTGTGGTGGCAAGGTTTGGGTTTGTTTTTTGTTTTCTTCTTCAGGTAGCTTTAAACTTTGAGAGATGTAAAAAACTGATTTGCAGGGAGGAGTTTGGAGTATGTGAAACAAGTTTGTTCTTCTTCTGCTCTGTTGGTTACTGCTATCTTCATGGATCTGACACACTATTTATCTGACAGTGCACTTAGTACTGCTTCGCCAGGGAAAATCACACAAAACAAGCCTGGCGCATCAGCACTTTCATTGTGTGTCGGGCTGAGCCTCTCTTCACATGGTCACATCCCCATTTTAATCCATTCCTCCCTTTCCCTGCCCCTTCCCCAGACCTGCTTGTTTCTGTAGCACTTATTGCTGGTTTCCCTGAGCGCCTGTTTCCACTTTGTGTTTTTCGTGGGGCCCAGGAAGCTAAAGCTGTGTGTATTTGTGGATCAGACAAGTGCAGCAAGTTAATATCATTGGCTTCTGAAGGGGAGAGTGAGGTGATGGCTGCGTTTAAGTTGGATTTCCTTCCAGAAATGATGGTGGATCATTGCTCTTTGAATTCCAGTCCTGTGTAAGTATTTTTGTTGTCTAATTTTTTCCTAAGCAGAGGAACTGGGCTGTTTCTGTTACTTTTGTTTGATGAAATTGATCCCTTTCCTTAAAAGAGGGGGAAAGAATTGGACAAAAAAAAAAATCTAAATTCTCTCATGGTAACATTTTTTGTTTTAGTCTGATTCTATCTCATAACTGCTAATTTCCTTCAAGATGTAACTAAATTCTTGGTGCAAGGGTGTACTTGATTTATGATAAACTGTAACACCAGTTCAAGTGTGCAGGCTCCAGTACCTTCCAGCTATAGAGTTATCCTGTAAGATTGATTTCAAGATTTTCTTTTAAACTGCAGCTTTATTACTTCATTCAGGTTGGGCATTAATTTCAAATAATCCTTTGGGAATGAAATGTTTTATTATTGTTTTAATTAACAAATTATTAAGCTATCACAGAAGAAACTGGTAGTTAGGCTGTTTTGTATTTCCATATGTATAGTGTATATTTGTGTATAGTGTTTATTTGTATATAGTGTTTATTTGTGTATAGTGTATATATTTTTATAGTATAACATTTTGTATTGATATTGCAAAGTGTAATACTGAACTTTGATTCTCCTTCCCCCTCATTCTAATTGAAAATTCAATGTAGCCCATAATTTCAGGAACATCAAATTGTTCCCTACCATCCAAAAGCAGCAAAATTGGATCAGGCATAACTGGCAGTTTGCTAAAATAGTGGGTGTGGCGATGAGAAACCTTGCTAGTTCATAAAAATGGGCAAGAACTTCATTGTCAACAATTAAAATGCTGATCTGGCTCAGAGTTACAGCTACAGGGACTGGAGTGTATAAAGAAAAGCCCATTTCAGTCAAAATTGCAGTCAAAATTTGAATTTTCTTTGATCTCTGTCACATAATCAGATTTGCCTGGCTTTATTCACTTTAGTGTCTTGGACCCTGAGGTTTTTTAGAACCAAGAATGTTAAATGGTATCATACTCTGTACATGACAGGTGTTAGTGTAGGTCTTTGAGGTTAGGCCTCCATGTATAAATCAGTCTGCCTTGGGATTAGGTGGAACAGGTGTGGGTAATAGCAAATACTCTTGGAATAGTTGGAGGGGAAAATGATTCCAAATTAGCGTTTTGCTGTTCTGAAATGGATCTTACGCCTTCTCTCAAATAATAGTAATTTAGGTATGTCTTATGATAGTTCTTTACTACTAAAATGTTACTTTAGCAGTAAACAGATAAAAATTCCTAAAATACCACCATCAAGACTTAGTATATAATAAAAGTATACCCATGTTCTAGGGATTACTAGATATGACTTTGTTATTCAAATTATACCTTCTCTTTTTCTCTCTCTCTCTCTCTCTTTTTGGTGGGGAGGGGTGGTTCAGTCGTAGGGCTTGAACTCTGGGCCTGGGCACTGTCCCTCAGCTCTTCAGCTCAAGGTGAGTGCTCTACCACTTGAGCTACAGTACCACTCCGGGTTTTATGGTAGGTAATCGGAAATCAGAGTCTCGTGGACTGTCCTGCTTGGGCTGGCTTTGAACCATGACCTCAGATCTCAGCCTCCTGAGTTGCTAGGATTACAGGCGTAAGCCACTGGTGCTGGGCTCAAATGATACCTTCTCTTATACTTTGTCATTGCCTAATGTTCAGCCCTTTAAGATTTCAGCCTTGTTTTTTTTTTTTTTTTTTTATCTTACAAGAGGTTTAGACTATGTCAGTATTTTATGAAGTCTGGACCATGGATCAATGCATGAACTTTACCTGGAATTTGAAAATCCAGATAATTATTATGCTAGAATAGGGCTCAATACGGTATTTTATTTTATGTGGGCTTTTGTGTGTATATGCCGGTCCTGGGCCTTGAACTTGGGGCCTTGGGCACTGTCTCTGAGCTTTTATACTCAAGGTTAGCACTCTTATCACTTGAGCCATAATTCTACTTCCAACATTTTGGGTGTTTAATTAGAGATAAGAGTCTCACAGACTTTCCAGTGCAGGCTGGCTTCAAATGCTGACCCTCATATCTCAGCCTCCTGAGTAGCTAGGATTACATGTGTGAGCATTGGGCCTAGTTTCCCAGGAGATTGAATGCATTCTATCTACAGACAATACTTTTAACAAATTCACAGAACTATTCTACCTAGTAAGGCGTGCTCAACACAATTTCTAAAGGACTTCTACTTACAAGTCCCAATACAAACTCCATTTCTGGCTGTTTTGTTAGAGATAAGAGCCTTCACAGACTTTTCTACATGGGCTATCTTCTAACCTCAGTCCTTGTATCTTAGTCTCCTGAGTAGTTAGGATGCAGGTGTGAGCCATCATTGCCCAACTCAATACTGTATTCTAAGTATAATATCTAAAGGTCTTTTAAGTATGCATTCTCACCAAACTGTGAAGCCTATTGGGCTTATGTTCCAGATGAGAAAACCAGTTGAGAGAGACCATCTCTGGGTTACCTGAGGATGTCAGCCTGAAATAAAAATTTAGTGATACTCAAGTTTTGTGCTTGCCCACTAGACCAAAATGTCAGTGAACCATTACTTATTAGTTCTTCTCTTTGGCCAAGTCCTTGGGTCTACTTTCATAAAAATGATATACTGAAATAGCGGAGTAAAGAACTTCAAAGAGGACTGGGAATGTGGCTTAGTGGTAGAGTGCTTGCCTAGCATGCATGAAGCCCTGGGTTTGACTCCTCAGTACCATGTAAACAGAAAAAGCAGGGAGTGGCGCTGAGGTTTGAGTGGTAGAGTGCTAGTCTTGAGCAAAAGAAGCTCAGGGACTGCCCAGGCTCTGAGTTCAAGCCCCAGGACTGGACCCCCCCCCCAAAAAAAAAAACTTCAAAGAAAGTGTGTGTGTGGGGGAGAGAGAGAGAGATTGAGGATTGAGCCCAGAGCCTTATGTGTGCTAGGCAAATACTCTACCAACTGAGCCATGTCCCCAACCTAAGAGGGAAATTCTTGAGAATGGTTTGTGTTTGCCACTTCTTTGATTCTTAGCCCCCCCTTTTTTTTCTCCCCCACTTCAGAGAAGTACTGCTTTTAATAGAAGGCTAAATGTGTGGTTTTCTTGCCATATTTTGCCTGGGAATGTGACCAACATCTTCAAAATTTTTTGTAACAGGGTAGTGTTTTAGTAAAGGGGGCTCTGGAAGCTCCAGGTAACCTGGGCTCTAATTCCTGTTTTCAGAATGGCTGTACTTGATTCTCCTTAGCTCAGTCTTAAGCTTCTTCTTGGCTTTTCTTCTGACTTTATTTTGTACCTTATGATATGGGCATTCTCCATGGGTTATACATAGAACCTTTTGCTTTTAGCTGCTCTGCATCGCTTAATGGAATATTGATGTGCTTCTTGTGTTTCAGGTCTCTGTATTTTGCAGTACCTTCTGAACTTTGTTTTTTTAAAAATAGCCTGTTGGGGGCTGGGAAGGTGGCTCAGTGGTAGAGCACTTGCCTTGCATGCCTGAGGCCCTGGGTTCGCTTCCTCAGCACCACCTAAGAAAAAAGCCGGAAGTGGCGCTGTGGCTCAAGTGGTAGAGTGCTAGCCTTGAGCTGAAGAGCTGAGGGACAGTGCCCAGGCCCAGAGTTCAGGCCCCAAAACCGGACCCCCCCAAAAAAATAGCCTGTTGGGGGGCTGGGAAGGTGGCTCAGTCATAGAGTACTTGCCTTGCATGCATGAGACCCTCGGTTCGATTCCTCAGCACCACATAAGCAGAAGTGGGGCTGAAGCTCACGTGGTAGAACACTAGTCTACAGCTGAAGAGCTGAGGGACAGCACCCAGACCCAGAGTTCAGGCCCCATGACTGACCAAAAAAAAAAAAAAAGCCTGTTGGACATCTCCAACAGCAGTTTTCCAGATTCCACCAGAACCCTCAAGAGTTACGCTAACTTCTTCCTTCTTACCTCCTTAGAGATCACTTGAACTACAAGTCCTTTAGTGGATCTGGACCCAAAATGAGGATGGGCTTCAGTCTTAGGAGCTAATTTATGTACAAGCTTCCTATTTTTGTATTTCTTCAGTTATTTAATTCTCTAGATTATTTATTGCCAGGGATGTTTCTATTTTTTGAGAGAGTGACTTTGTAGCTGAGGTTAGCCACAAACTCATGTTCCTCTTGCCTCGTATTCTGCACTGGGATTACAAGTATCCATCACCATGGTTGGTTTGACAGGTATATTAAAAGACAAATCTCATTTTCTTGTTTCAAAATCTTGAATAAAGTCCCAAGTTATCAGTGTGCCGTGGAAAACTTATCACTGAGACTCTTCAACCAACTTTGTTTGTCTTGTAGATTTTTCTTCATCCCACCCCCACCCCCATTTTCTGTTCTCTAACACTCTCAAGTCTTATTTTCTCTGTGTTTCCTGATGTTGTATGATTTTTCCCTTGCACTATGTTCTTAGTCTTTACCATTGCTTCATCGCTCCTGAGCTTTCAGTCCTCCATGCCACAGGGCACCTATTCCAGTTGCCTACTCCATTCAGCTTAAATCCCACGCTTCTTCCTTTCTCCAAATGAAGTAAAACCATATTAGTCACATCCTTCACAGAATATTTATACATCTGCTAAAGGATTTGAAGTATTAAAGTTGTGTCCTCGTTCATTGCCAGTGCCTCTGAGGCAGGTGTTGTTCAGTGTTTTGTAGAGTCCTAGAGTAAGTGGAGTCTGGCACCATATAGAAGAGTTTGGGAAGTACAGTGGAATGAATAACAGGCCCAAGGTGGGCCTTGTTTTTTTTTTTGGTAGTTGGAGAAGATTGCATTGATAAGATCTTTATTTCTTCAAACCTCTTCAAAAGCAGTGCCATTGTTGGGTGGTGACTTCAAATACTGTATTGTGGTGCTGATGGAGTGGCTCAAGTGGTTGGATGCATTCCCAGCAAGCTTGGTAGTGGAGTCCTTACCAAAAACAAAACAACCCCAAAATACCTGTATAAGTCCAGGAGTGGTGGTATACACCTCTAATCCCAGCTACTTGGAGGCAAAGATCCAGAGAGTCATGATT